GTGTGTGTGTGTGTGTGTGTGTGTGTGTGTGTGTGTGTGTGTGTGTGTCACATCCATTCACACTCATGCAGGGTGACTCCATTAAGCAGTACGGTTGTAGCGGTCAGCACTTTATGACAATCTGGCTCACAGGTCAGATGGCAGCGGAGAGGTCAAAGATTCTCCAATCACTCCAGTAAATCGACTGCTTCCACATCAGAAAACTCACTGTTCTCACGTTAACTTGAGAATTACCCTCAGAATGCCATCAGCTATCCCAAATCCTCTAAAATGTAGCCCACTTCCACCACTTGATTCAGAAGTGTATACATTTCAAGGATTCAACATGTATGTCCACGTTGGCAAACTTTTGGGACTCCTTCGGCTGAACTGCAGATTGGGGGTCTTCAGTTTACTGCAACCTGATGATAATGTGTTAGTTTTTACAAAAAATGAACATTTATCATGTTTGGTGGTGCAAAGTCTGATTTAAATTGTATTTGTCAAAAAAAGTTACCTGTTTGGAGGACATATCCTGAAACATGAAATTTTGTAATTACATAGATTCTCYGTTCATATTAAACGGATCTGGACAACATAAACCAAACCACAAMTGGGCCAGCTRTGGCATGYCATCACATGAAATGTCATTGCCAGACCTGTCCTGCATTCAGTTAACAAATCATTTACCAAGTCAGCAGTAAGCCAACTAGACCTGCCCCACACCTGTCTTTATATGGATTATTACAAAGGTCCATGTTTTGGAAGAAAAAGTTATTCTAAATTCTGACATCTACACAGTATAAACTACGTGTTCAGTAGCTAAAAATGTAATTTAGAGAAGGAGACACTGTCTGATACAAATGAGAAAGTAAAGACTGAATGCTGCAGACCTTTTCAGAAATAAACTCTGTTAAATTATAATTATAGGAAAAAAGTAAAAAGATGAGAGCTCAATCTCTCAATAGATGTTATTTTACCAAGCGAAGTAGAAAAGCAAAGACCTCAATTTACTGGTTTATCTACATTCCAACCAATGCCTATGTGAGATTGTGAAACACAAGTGGCAGAAATGAGCACAGTGTGGTTATGCTCAGCCGTAGAGATAAGGTGTGGAGCTCCACCATCCAGGGAAGCACAGAATATAACCACTGCTTCTCCGTATGAATAGGAGTCAGCTGAGATGCTTCACTATTTGGTAAGGATGCCTTCTGGACACATCCCACAGACAGAACTCAGGCCAAACCCAGAACTCACTGGAGAGGTTATTTATCCTCTCTGGCCTGTGAACACCTTGGGATCACCCAGCAGGAGCTGAAGAGTGTAGCGAGGGAAATCACTGTCTGGTGTTTCGCTCTTGGACCTCTGCGACCCAACCTCAGATAGTCATAAGCCAATGGATGCACAGTGTACTATTTCCTGCTCTATTTAATGTTATTAAGATGATAGGCCCTTCCGTTTTATACTGGCAATGTAGCAGTGAAAGGCAATGTCTTTTTTTTTTTTTTTTTAGAAAAGCCAGTGTTGAATGAGATTAAGTTCCAGAAGCTAATGGAATAAAAGACTCATGAGTTCCGTTTTATATCCATTAAAATCAGTGCTGAGTCACTTTCAAAGTAGTTATGAGTTCAACACATCATTCAGGAACTTTTCTGTAAATAAATTGAAGCTTTACTTCTGACATAAAATCATACAAAAGTGATTAATTACATTTTCTGTTCTGGTCACCCTGTTCGTTTTCTGCCAGGAAGCAATCATCTGTCCAACAGATGTATGGATGCTATGTTCTTGGCAGCAGGAAAGTGGACTTGTTTGGGTTCAGAACAAAGACCAGAACATAGTGAAGGCAGTGAATAAATGACTCCAAGACATGCTTCCAAATCATGGATTTAGTCAGAATTTTCAATAGAATGTTAAGGACAAATTTCTGAGAGAAAACGTCACTAAAGGTTTGTTGTCTAATAAATTAGGCTTAGAAAGACACAGTTCTGTATTAGTACCATTTGTGGAAGAAGTCAGTCATTTTAAAAAATGCAAATGTTATTTTCAGATTTTATGAACACATAAATAAAATCAAATGACATGAAGAACTACATTTTGCACACAGGTACTGCATCCCTGGTCAAGCATAAATAATGCATCCAGTAAGTGTATAAACTGCGTACACATTTTAAGTGATTTACTGAGGGTTAAGGTTAGGGTTGAACTAAAAAGTTTAACTGTGGTCGCATTACTTTGCAACACTGGTTTGTCTCTGGTGTTATGTTTACTTTCAGTTTGTGCTGTGAAGTCTTTTTGAACATGGTTTTGGAGTTCAACAAAATTCCAGCACTTGCCAAAGAAAAAATAAATAAATATAATGTGCATCAGCATGGTGTGTGTTTGTCTTCGAACGGTTCCTTTGAGCTTACGTTTTGGACTTCTCTATTGCTAAAGTGGCTGAAAAGTTGCAGCTTTAACAACCCATAAAGAAATATATGTTGCCATTTGGTCTTTGCTTAGAAGGAAGGAAAGGCATATTTATGCAATTGAAGGTGCACAGAACAAGGCTGGTACTGATGGGTTTTAACAGCTTTGGTAAAAAGGTATTCAGTTCCAGCCAAAATCGTGGCCGGTAATTTGGTAGAACTTGAGATTGAAGGGTCTGTAGAAGTCTCTAAGCCTGAGCAGGACCTCAGAAGGTATCTGAGGATGGGGTCTGCCCTTGGACTTGCCCAAGCAACGGGGCCTGCTGCTCCCCTCGGGCTTCTTCAGGCAGGGGAAACCTTTAGTCTGGTTAAAGTAGAAGTGCTTGTCTGTCACCACACGTTTGATACCTAAAAAGTCCTGAACTCTGCCCATCTCCCCAGCTGGGTCTGTCACCAGGCGCTCCCCGCTAACAAAAAGGAAGCGCGAGAGCGGAAAGTAGCGCAGCCAGCTCTCCAGATGCTTGGCGTAGATTCCAATGCGTACGGCGCTCCACGAAGTGTCAATGAGCCCTGCAGTGGCATTGCGGAAGACCAGACTCTGGAAAGACGGCAGCCCGGGGGATTTGGACAGGGTTTGAGTGTAATCAGAAACTGCCCGAGTCACAGGATCTCGGACCACAACAATGAGCTTGGTATGGCGGCTCATGAAGAAGACACGACGTGGAGCTTCTTTGGTGATGAAATAACTCGGGGTCTTCTCCATGGTGATCTGACCCTCCAGAGTGCGAGGCATCAAACTCCTATAAAAAGAAAAAAAAGAAGAGAAACAAATTAATCTGTAATTCCACCATGTATAAAATGTATAAAAGATCCAACATTTTCACTGTATCTATAATGTAATACATTCTGTAATGTTCCCAGCCCATTCTTTTGATGTTGCCCCCCTTGCCTTCAGGGCTTTTTCCTCTTGCTTTGTTATTAGAGGCCTAAATCTGTGATTACAGGGAGATAAACATGACTTTAACTGCTGGCACCGATGAAGCAACCATGTCACTGCAGACAGGGAGAGAGAGAGTCTGTGAACAGCTACAGTAAGAAAAACCACAAGGGTATATTAACGTCAGGAAAGTAATTTCCTCTCATCCGCTGCTTCCTCCCAAACAAGCTCATAACTGTTGCTCCTGTTCCTTTCGGTGTTCCAGTGTCCTGCAGCTGGAATAGCCAAATTGCAGTCATACCAATATTACTTTGTAACCTTACAACAAGGTTGCATTATTTTTTACTGMTAATACAGTATATACACAAAACTCCTGGTTTCTTCTTACATTGGAAGTAATTCTTGTTGAGGTTTAAATATAGTATAGACCTAATTATTGGACCAATGTTGCTCACTGATACAAGATATCAAGGCTCAGAATCAGTCTACCATAATGGCTCCCAAACATTTTAGCTTCTGACCCTAAAAATAAYAGCAGCAGAAACTTGTAACCCCAACTGTTATTGGTTAAAGTGTCCAATCATAACAATTAGGTGAATTTAATAAAAACATGATGACAAAAAACACTCCTACACAACACTTACTGAAACACATTTCATCTCTAATAACATTTATAAATAAAAAATAGCAATTGGCTATTATTTTTAAACTTAATTTTGTTACTTTAGGATCTGTAAACGCGACTGATTAATGAGTATTTTGTTGGTTTCCTGCTTTCCATTCAGACAGCTTTCACCTGCAATGCATCATGGGATTGAGTGGGTGAAGAAGGATGATTTAAGCAAAGTTCTATGTCCAGACACCACTTTTTCAGATAAAGTGGGGGTCTGGGGCGTTGGGGGCACACATTGGTGGGCCCGATGGATAGCCCTTCATCAGAGCTAAAAAAAATAAAATAAAACAAAAAAACTAGATACTGCATAGTGGTAACACAATGACCCCCGCACGCACAAATGCACCAGAACTCAGAAGTCTTTATTCTTAATAAATGTCATGCTACTAGGTGCATCCCAAAATTGTAGTGGTTTGGGTGGGGRTCTTTTTGTTGGGGGATGGTGGGGCATTGGTTGACCTGATGGATAGCCCCTCATCAGAGCTAAACAACCAAAGAAATCTGAAGCTCCTATGTTTAATAGTTTTTGAGCTATAACCATTTTTGTATGTCCAGATACCCCTTTTTCAGATAAATTGGGGGTCCGGGTGTGGGGTGGTGGGGGACGGGACTGATTGGTTGGCCTGATGGATAGAGCTTCATCAGAGCTAAACAACAAAAGAAATCTGAAGCTTCTGTGTTGAACAGTTTCTGAGTTATAAGCATTTTTGCATGTCAAGACACCCCATCTTTGGATGGAGCCCCCTCCTCAAATATGGGGTCTATCGTCAAAACCGTTGGCTGGCGCAGTGTAGGTCAGACTCATCTACAGCCCTGCCAAATTTTATGTTGATCGGTGCAACCGTTTTTGTGCTACGGTTGACCAAAAATCACTGAAGAAAAAAAAGAAAACAGTACGAATACAAAATGACTCCCGCTTCATGTGCGGGGGGGTCATATTAAGCAAGTTCAGATACATAAAAGTCAATTTGAGATGTATTCTTACAGATGAGTAAGAAGTGTTGACAATGTCTTAAGATGGACGAAGAAATACGTAGAGATAATTAATCAAAAGTCTAATTAAGAAGAAGCAATTTCAACAAATTCCTACAATTGCAAAGCTTGTCTGGAAGACACAGCAGTTTGGAGTCGACCCTAAAATAAGGTCCTATGTTAATAATAAATTAAAGAACTTTCCTTTAATTGTTTAACTTTAATTTATAAACTGTGTGCATTTAGTGAGTCCTAATGGAAAAATATTGGATCAGAAGGATTCATTTGTTCCTTTCCAACCTGGGTCTGGTGCTTATCATAATCAGAGCACGAGGTATTTTAGGCACCCAAGGCTTTTAAGGAACTGGATTACTGGTTTCTCTTGATCTTTATCCCATTTTAGATGACTCAGAGGCCGAGTATATATGGTATAGTACTTTAAAAAGTTCACCAAAGCCTCTATTTGATCAAGTCCTTACAACATGCCAGTGCAGACTGAATCTAAATTGAGGGAAATGAGAGTGAAAGAAAAACCCATTTGTATTGTGACATTTATGTTCAAATACTACTGTGATGCTTAAAACGGAATCTCATAACCTCCGTCTTGTTTTATTAAACAACACGTTTCACTGACTAWAAAGACACATATCAAATGATAGACTCGGCTCGTGTTTTAGAAAAATCGAAGCGGTGAAGAATGCAGCTTGAAAAGATCCCTCAGCTTATTTCCATGCTTTCCCCTTCCCCTCTCAGCAGGCATGTGGTGGCGGTCAGGTCGAAGACGTCGTGGTTGGTCTGTCAGTGAAGAGCTTGCGAAGCGCCTGTGTTTGGAGATGGGAGCGGATTCCTCTCCATCTCTCTCTGTTCCAACTCACACAGCTCCGAGTCCAGCATGTCTTCTGGCACGCAGTGATGAGGGTAACACCAAATGCACAAGCACCGGGTATTCAAGAGAAATATCTGTGTTTTATTAAAGGGCTGGAGCAAAACTAAGATCAGCAAATATCGAGTGGAGAGAAGTTTTGAAAAACAAGGCTGTTTCTATGGCTTCGTTCTCTGTCGGGATGCTGTAAAATGCATGTTTTGAGCCAAGACATAAACTAAAACTTACTGTCCTGAAACCTGCTTTGAGCTACGGGTCCTACATGAAAGTAGCTGTCCTATTTGTATCCAACGAAAGTTTAACAAGTTTCTTTCGGTGGAAATTCCACTCTCAGACACTCAAACGGATCAACCTCTGAGGTAATTTGTAGTAAAAGTGTCGCTTTGGTACACCTTGTCTACCCGTGTTTCCTACGCCTSCAAGAATGGCTCTCAAAAATCCATCAGAGAACATGCAGGAGCAATTAAGTACTTCCAGTAAAGAGAATGGAGGAACCGCACACTTCAATTAACATATTTTTGGTCACAATGCACTTAAAGGTTCGATTCCCAGGAGGCTTCTTCCTTTCAAAGGAAGTGACTGGAAACCTAAATTGGCATCAATCCTGGTTGTGTATCTCAAGGAATACAAAGGAAAACACACAAGATGTGAACGATGAAATGAAAAGTTTTTTGTTTTATTTGTCCGTGACTTCAGGGAGTTTTGGGGAGTGTGTTTGCAGCTCCTAATGGTTGTTTAATTCCCTGCAGTTGGGCTAATTGAAGTCACAGTGTCCTGTTCGAGGCTTAGAGGGGCTTCTATTGACATCATGTTTACATGTTGGACTGCGTTCCCATCTGTGATCTCAAGCCGCACAGCAGTGGAAAACAGCAAGGACACAGGCAAGATGAGAACGAAGGGAAAAGAGGCAAGGATGAGCGAACAGACTCATTAAACGTCTTGATTAGACGAGTCCTTTTTTTTAATTTTTTAAATCTGATATCACTCTCATGGTCAGGGAGACGCAGCGACCTGATGTTTGTTTTCATCGCACCTTTACTGCAGAAATGCCAGGGAGTTTTCCAGTGCACAGATGTGCCTTTATCTGTGTGTACAAATCTGCCCCGGCATTCACACACACACACATTTAGCTGAAGTCCTTGTGGGTGGGCTGGGGTTTTATTAGGTCCCGTCTGAAGGACTACAAGCTCACAGGCTACTGTTCATCGCTCCAATTTGAGGTCTGAACGGTGTGTGCTCGCCTCCCAAGCAGTGGGAAGGGTGATTCGTTTGGATGTGGTGGACAAATAAATGATTCACGTAATATTTTCCATTCAAGGTCTTGATGTAACTTGATATTTAGGTAACAGTGAGCTAATGTCAGAATCTTAACCTGACATTTTTATTGCTTTAAAGGGGGATTATTCAACAGAAGTATGTAATTTCCATGAAAGCGCAAAACAGAAACTGCAGTAATGACAAAACGAAGCTAAAAGAAATTAGCCAAACCGCAATCTGGCTTGGTAAAATTTGGACGTGGCATGAATTTGACCATCAGCTACAGAGACAATTTAAACAATATGCTTATCCTCATTTAAAGGACTTTGATTGCTTTATTTATTACTAACAAAAAACAAGTCTCAGTGGAATATAGCATTAAAAAATCCAACAGGATGTGGAGGGTCTTAGTGAGGTCTTTATGTGCATTAAGAAAGCAGCGCTTCTCCATTATGCATGCTAGAGTTATCATCATTGTGGTGGAGAGCTGGCGTCCTGGGTGGAACGTAGTACTAGTGTTTGCATGACTTGGGGCCCACATGCATCGACGTGGCTTTGTGTTTGAGAATTTAAAGCAGGACTGGTCATGTTGGCCTCGGAGTACGGTCATGATTGGGTCGAGGTCATAGAAACTAACCAGTTTAAGTTTGTTGGTCCAGCAATGATCTTCTAGCGCCATTGTTCTCAGACTAGTGGTTCTCCAAAAATAATTTTGGTTTTGATCATAACTAGCTAATTAAGCATCATGAGCTGAACAGTGATGTAAAGGTAAAAAATACAGAGAGCCGATTCATATTCATGATGCTGAATGGAGACTCCTCACAACAAAAGTTCTTTGAAGAGTCGCTGTGAAAACTCCACCAGACAAAGATAATAGCTGTCAAAACCCACAATTATAAAAAAAATCTTTTCAAAGAAAATTATAATTATTTTAATGCAATTTTTACAACATTAAATGATAGTTTGAGGGTTAATGTTAGTCATGAGATTTGGTAAAATTTGTGTTAGGAAATAGCAGATATTCCTCATCTTTGTTTACAACTAAATCCAGTGATCACTTGTGGAAATTATCCTTTYAGTAAATTTTGTAATTTGTTGCAAGATGTCTGACAATATTTCTTTAGATTTGCACAGTCAATATTTCCATTTATTTGCTGCTTGTGTACAAAGAGTCATGAAACAAATTCAATTAATAACACACATGAGAACCACCTTTTTCAGGTTAAGATAATTTAACACTTTCATAAGGTTTGAAAATAAACAAATAAAAAGGCAGGAGAGGCTGTTGTAGGAATTGCAAACACAGCCCCCGTTATTAGAGAATCTGAGCCAACCTGCTGCAAAAAAAACAAAAACAAAAACATAAAATAAATAAATTCATTAAAAACTAAGGCGGTGAATGTTAAGAAGCCACATTTGCTTTATTCAAAAAAGTTTATTTTACAATAAAGAAACAACATACAAACTAAWTGACTGAAATATTTGAACAAAAACTATGTAAATCAAATATATGACCAAAATAGTAAMACCTATTAAAATTTTTCTATGTACTGTGTGTAAAACGTTTCCAGGGATTTAGCTCTTTTACAACACATGTACTGTATAATCCGTGTTAATTTAGACTCAGACTGATTCAGTGAGAGGATTCGAATCATTAGCCCAGTTGAGTCATTTGCTCTACCTAATATAACCTTTACAGTCAGATGGTCATTTTCTTGCCTTTTGGTGCAGAAAAGCCAACACACTCTTGGCGCTCCCTTAAATCCTAACAAGTAAACACCACACACACACACACACACACACACACACACACACACACACACACAC